AGGATTGAGCGCCGCTGCTATGGAGTGTGTAAGTCCTGGTGTGGCTTAAGTCTAATTACACAGAAGGAGGAGATAGCAAAACGACCCATGATTGTAGGCCTTAAGAATTTAGAACAGAAACACTGAAGCACATTGGTATAATGGGAATAATATTATTTGGATATTAAACCAATATATTTTCATCCTTGGTAATTCCTGGTTCCTAGCTGTTCCCTGGCTCCCTAATTAAAAACCGAGCCTGGCTCTTTCAGATCACAGAATTTCTTCCATGATGTACAGAAAACACCTCTTATGCCTATGGGGAAATTTAAAACTGGATGACAGGTGATCCCTACTCTAAAAAAGGCAATGCTCTGATAACAGATGTAAGTCAAATATGACAGAAGGCAGGATGTGATCCACACCAATCATCAAGGAACAAAATAAATGCCAAGGGATTTCAGAGAAGCAAGAGACTACTGTGTTTGGCTGCTGTTTCCCAGTTCCGACACGAACCGCTCAGATCTTTCACTCCTGGAACTGACCTCACCTTGTTCTTGAACCCAGTCTGAGAGCACACTTTCCTCAATCTTTCAGAAAAGGAAAAAAAAAAAAAAAACCACCTGACAACCTTGCTGAAAAAGTTGCACATGCCAGGCAAACAACACCTGAATTAACACACACCAGGTGCTGACATCCTGCCCCTTTCGGGAGCAGAGCCAAGAGTTGCTCAGAACACCCCCACTCAGCTCTGCTCCAATCCTCATAGGAAGGGAGGCGCCGGTTTTCATTGAGCATATTTGGAAAAGAGGGAAATGGTCCACCTGAGAGTTATAAAAAATGTTTCTTTCTGGGAACCACAGGGAGTTGGAAAAAAACAAATTCTGAATTTCAACCTCCTACAAAACTACTGTTCTCCTGTGCCCCCTCCCCCCTCCCCCCTCCCCAAATCCAAATTTATTGCACAATGTTCCTGGAATTCTTCCTAAGGCCCCCACCTAGTTACAAGCAAAAGCAACACATCACAGTGAAAGCAGATGATGCTTCCTACCTTAGATGCAGATTTGGCCAGCTGACAGAAAATCCTATAGTCTCGCAATTCTCCAGAAGTGACTACAGATAAAATCAAACCGACACATGGCAGCTCATCACTGACCCTATCAACCATCAGGAGAAGACTACAAATGAGTATCAGATGGAGTCCCTGCCCACCAGGACTTTATAGTAAGATTTCACGAGTTTAGGTTTTATCCCTTAGGCAGTGCAAAGCCACTGAAGGCTTCTGAACCTCAGATCAAAGTGTTTTGGGGAGATTAATCTGGCAGCAGCCAGCCCAAGTGGCTGCAGTGGGAAGCTATTGAGCAAAGAGAGGTCCCCTGAGAAGAATCAAGCCCTCAGAGCCCACAGTGTTGTCAACTATGCTAGGGATGCGGGCACTAGAACAGTCTCTGAGCCAGGACTTGTTATGCTGTTTATACACCAACCGGGATGAATGTGCATTGCTACAGGATGTGAAACCTCTTCAAACCCTTCTGCCATGACAGGCCAGGGCCCAGATGCTCGGACTGGGTCTAGCGAGGGTGGGATGGGCACAGCGGCTCACTCCCAGGCAGACTTGTTTCCAGGCAACCATTCCAGACAGACACATGTCACTTTTGCCTAAAAATTTCCAGCAAAAGGGATTCCCTAATGCCTTCACAAAGTCTCTAGACTCCACAAGAAGACCTTATGTCCTTTCCGTCTCCCTCATGCCACAAACCAGCCGCTCCCCTCAGCGGAGGAGAAAGAGCTGCGCTGATTCTTCCCTGCCATACAGAGACACGGAAACTGGAGTGTGACCTGGGCACACCCATTTCCTTATTGCTCCAGGAATCCAGACTACAGCCTTAACCTTCGTTAAGGCTTTCAGTAAATTACTCCATCAGTCCAAGAGACAACTAAAACAATAAGAAAATAGCATTATGCTAGGCACAGCGGTGTATATAAAAAAAATCAGGCCAGGTGTGGTGGCTCACTCCTGTAATTCCAGCACTTTGGGAGGCTAAGGCGGGCGGATCACCTGAGGTCAGGAGTTTGAGACCAGCCTGGACAACATGGTAAAACCCTGTTTCTACTAAAAATACGAAAATTAGCTGGGTGTGGTGGCACATGCCTGTAATCTCAGCTACTCAGGAGGCTGAGGCAGGAGAATTGCTTGAACCTGGGAGGCTGAGATTGCAGTGAGCTGAGATCGCATCACTGCACTCTAGCCTGGGTGACAGAGCGAGACTCCCGTCTCAAAAAAAAAAAAAAAAAAAAAAATTTAAACCAGACTCAGTCTCTGTCCTTAAGGAATGATTAAAGTCCAGAGGTGTATAATATAACTCACACAATTCCATAACGAGAGACAGTACTTGACAGAACATGAAAGAATGCAAGAGACAAGGGTTGAGGGAAATACAACAGGCAGAGGGGATGCTGGATGACTCATTTGGAAGGGAAAGATCAGGAACAGTGTCTTGATAGAGGTGACATTTGGGTTGGGCACTGGAATGACAGATTCTGACAAAACACAAAAGAACTTTGCAAATCTAATGATTTGGAAATCAAACAGCAACAAAAAGAAAATTGGCCTCCCCTCACTGAAGAGAAGAAACACAGACTCTGAAACCCACAGAATGCCCATGGTAACTCCCAGCCACATGAAAGTTGGAGAGAAATACGTGGCTTTTGCCAGCAAGAAGGAGGCTACCGCCCCAGGTGACCTAACCCAAGTCCACCTGAAATGCCACCTTTTCCCCTCAACAGCATGAAATATTTGGTAGGTTTGATACTCTGGGGCCCCAGTTGGAAGCCTCTAACCACAGTAGGGCCCATACCCAGGAGATCAAGCCAGCAGCTCCCCCACTATGCCTTTCTCAAAGCCACCCACATGTGCCAACAGCAATGGACACCTAACAGTTACATGGCGCTTTCCAAGTTCACTTTGTGCTTTTACAAACATCTCTGATTCTCACAACCACCCTGAGCGGGGAGGCACTCTGAAGTCTTGCTTGCTGTAAAGATTTTGTTGTATTATTTCCTACTGTGTTTAGTATCTGTCTGAAAACACATTCTAATCAGACAACTTTTCCACTTTTGGCTTCAGCACATCTCTCTAGGAAGGACACTGTGAGGCCAGTAGGTTTTTGCCCTAAGAGGACTGACCATCATCTGGGGGCCACACATGGAGATGAACAATTTAAGGGGCATCAGAAGTCAGAGTCTGAGTACTAAATACAATGGAAAGATGCTGGTACAAAATGAGTTTGCAGGACAGAGCAAGCACATGGTCCTGGACTGAGCAGAAAGCCACAAAGTTCAGGAAGGGTTTGAATGATGCCTGACACTTAGGAGATGCTAAGTTGACCCTCTTTATTCATGGTAGTTACATTCTAGTAGGATCATGTTCCTGCCAGACACTGGTGGCAACAATGGAGTGGTCTCATGGACATTGTTAGTGAATTTCCTCTTCCTTTTTCTGGATGTATCAGAATATTGTTGATTCATTAACAATGAACTCACGGCCAACCCCATGTCTGATCAAAGCTTATCTAACACACACGTCTTCTCTGTGAGGCACATCACAGCCTCCCTGTGCTTAGGAACACCAGGCAGCACCTCAGCGCTCTGCTTCAGGAGCCATTTCAGAACTGCAATATCACCACCAACAAAAAGCACAAAAATGCAAAACAAAAAAAAAAATGTGGCATTAAAGAGACTGCGAAGACACTAGTTTGCAGTATGAGAGCTGAAACTAGAAGGCGGAGTGTCACCGTGTCTGACCTCAGCCAGGAATGTGCATATTGGGCGAGTTGAATTTTTCACCACTCTTTGCACATCACCGAATTACCGTGAAAGGACTACGAGTGCTGGTTTGGGGATGCAAATAAATTTTAGGGAGTAGTAAAATTGGCAAATACAGAATCCATAGGTAATGAAGATCTACTGTACCTTGGTCCAGAAAGGCTGTAAACAGAGGCATTCGGTACCTGTCTGTGGAACTGAACCAAAGTTGCAAAGACAGGTGAGGCTCCCAGCTGGGAAAAACAAATGCAGAGGCTGATTCGGGGAGAGAGGTTGGTTCTGTGTACTGGAGGAATGGCAGCAGCCCAGCCAGAAACGCAGACGTGGTCAGACTGCAGAGGGCTGTGAATACTAGGATGGGGAGCTAATCCTAATATTTGTTTACCCAGCAGACCACTAAGCACCTGCCAGGTGCAGGATCAGAGCAGTGCAGAGGAGTGAATAATTTTAGTTAGGACCTTGAAAGATGTGTCAGAAGAGGACGACACTGTGGACAGACGAGCTGGGTCAGGTCAGCACCTTATCCTGGGTACTCCTGGATGCCCGGAATGGCTATGGAAGGTTGGTCTAGAGAGAGAGAGGAGGAAACAGGCCAGGTGCGGTGGCTCACACCTGTAATCCCAGCACTTTGGGAGGCAAAGTTGGGTGGATCACTTGAGGTGAGGAGTTGGAGACCACCCTGGTCAACATGGTGAAACCCCGTCTCTGTTAAAAATACAACAATTAGCTGGGCATGGTGGTGCGCGCCTGCAATCCCAGCCACTCAGGAAGCTGAGGCAGGAGAATCGCTTGAACCCAGGAGGCGGAGGTTGCAGTGAGCAGAGATCGTGCCACTGCACTCCAGCCTGGGTGACAGAGAGAGGCTCTACAAAACAAAAAAGACAGGAGGAAACAGCTTTGGGGCATAAAACCCTCAGGTCTCAGTATCTATCCAAAGGCAACTGAGCCAGGATCCTACCAGGCTGAGTGTCCCTAAGGGTTAGGCATTCCCCTCCCCCACCTCCCAACACACGAGGTTCCTTTAGGTTCCCCATCACACATTCACCTGTTGTTTACATGTCTGTCTAAAGCTAATGTTCATTAAAGCCCTTAACATTCCCAGACACAGGCACATGCTTAAAAACGTGCTTGGTCCTACAACAGTGATGGACATCATTATTACGAAGCCCAGGTACAGACAAGGCCGTCAGTTTTACCTACTCACAGCAGTCCTTGCTTGCTCACTGCTGAATCCCTAATGGCTTGGAACAGAGCCTGGGCCTCCAGGTGATTTCTTAAATGTAAGTTAACTGATTTCTATCTCTGATCTTCCAGCTGAGTGACATTTGGTTAACACAGAACCTCTGAGCCCCAGGCTCAACCCCCCGACCCCCTGCCTTCTCCAGTGGCTTCCAACATTGTCCAGCCTCAAAGACGGATGGCACATGGGGTCACACAGCACCCCACGATGCTCAAAATGACCTGCATTTAGCTGATGCTCTGCTGTTGCCCTCTTGAATTTCTTCGTTATTTTTGAACAAGGAGCTTGAATTTTCATCTTGCACTTGTGCCCTGCAAATTATTTCCTGGACCTGCCTCCAGCTCCCCAGTTTCCTCTCCCACAGAGTGCTCCACTGTTGGCCAAACTTGAGGACCAGAGGCAAGTCTGTGCAAGTAGCAAGTGCTTTGCTGAAAACTTTCCATCCTAAATTAAAATATACATTTCTATTCTGGTTATGGAGCCAACTAATGCATGTAACTTAATCACACTGTTGTTTGCTCAGTCTGGCTATAAACCATGTAAACGCCAGCCTCCTGGGAGCTTTCTGCTACCGCTTGGGGAATTAACAACACACGTCAAGCTTGTTACATGATTCTCTCAGGTTCTGCTCTGGTTTCTGCTTTCAGAATTTCTAAGCCTGAATACACTGCCTTTCAGCCCTGAGCAATGCCCTCCCTAAATCTTAGCGAATGTGAGCATTTACTCTTGAGAAAGCCCCCACAAAGCAGAAAGAACGAAGCCAAGCAATGAAACTCTAATCACATACTGCTTCTACCCTTCCGCGTTAGGTATACCACAAGGCTTCAGTCCTGAAATCTCTTTCTATAATATGTTTCCAGAAGGATAAAGAAAAGAAATACTTTTCTCCCCAGTCTAATCTGGATATAAAATGAAATGAAAAATACTGACATATCACTAAATGTGCCTGGGTCTTAGTTTATTAATCAAACAAATGGGTTGAACAAGTTAACCTAAATGTAATAAACCATGGCCAGGGAGAACAGTAGTTGGCTGTTAGCCGAGAGAATTGTGATATACAAATGCCTGGCACCACTGAGAGATGCAGCAGAGCCCACAGGAGGAATGTGGGTGGGGTAGGAGAGGTCGGAGGGGCTATCAGAAGATCCTGGCTCTAGCCCTAGTTCTTCTCCTGATGGCTCTTAAAATTGAGTTGACACCACTTCACTCTCTGGGCCGTGTTTCTCTCCTCTGCAAAACACTGACATAAAAATATTTGGTGATAGTGAGAGATTAAATAAGAACATGGATCCAAAAATCACTTTGCAAAATCTTAACAGCATTATTCTAAAATATTACACGCTACTTGGTTAAGGTGTCACGTGTGCTTAACGGGCCCCCAAAAGGCCAATATTTGATTCTTGCAAGTCCCATGGAAACTTCCAGGACCCTGCAAGGATTTCAAGGGAACCCAGACCCCAGGGAAGCGAGATTAGATGGCAATGGAAAGAATTTCTACTCCCTGTGGCCTGCCAGCCCTTGGCCTCCCAAAGCGATCAGATGTTGGATTTGGAAACAGCCAACCCGATAGAATTCTTCACACTTCTAATTACTTCATGATTTGTACACATTTTGGCGGTTGCTTCAAGGCTGTTTTATTAATTCGCAGATTTTCACTATTTTTGCTTCTCCTTTTCTTGCCAATTAGCTGAACTAGCTGCAACTCAGCATCTGGGCAGGGCTACGATGGGAAGCAAGCCTCCCTCCTCTCCAGCCCCCACTGCCCGGGAACCCTACCTCAGAGCCAGCGTCAGGAGTCACCACAGGGACCTGGGTGGGGTGGCCTGGTGGGAGCTTATTCCCTGATGACAAAATGTTTCCTCTGTTTTGAAAGAACACCTTGAGTCACCTCTCCCAGTCTGTCCAATGCTTGATTGAGCCCTGTGGACTCACATGAGAATCTAAGACATTAGGGAGAATGCTGCTGTCGCCAGACTTGCCTTACAAACCCCATGAGGAAATTCAGAGAGGCCCCTATGTGGCCAGGTCTCGGATGTGGCCTAATCAACACCATCCAAACTCACAGGCAAGGGAGACCCTGCATTCTGTGTCATCTCCCGGGCAGGCAGTACCGGTCAAGGGATCGGTCTCAAGTGCTGGGCCTCACCTCTGCTCTCTCAAATGGGATCATAACATAGGCTCTGCCCTCCTCGCTAGGTTACTGTGAGGAAGTGTGTTCAATGTTGTAAGAGCTAAATGCAGGCAAGGGGTCCTTATAGGCAACAACTTTGGTTTGAAGACAACACAGTGGCAGGGTGTTCAGCTCTGCTTTCAAGTCAGAAGGATCTCAAGGCTGGGTTTGGCCTGGAGTGGGAAACCCAGCTGCAGCCTCTCCTTCCTCCAGAGCTCAGGCCACCCCTGAAGCTGGTGGTTGGGATCAGGAAGGAAAGTTCCAGATGGGAGTGTCTGTGGCCTCAAGAAACTATTGCTATCCATTGTACCCTCTTCAGATGATTGTGTCAGTTTCTTGCTTTTGAGGGGAATCCTTCCTTCGGAGTCCTTCCTTCAGAATCCTTCCCATCTCCAATGAGGCCATAGGACAGACTCCCTGGTCCACCATGAGACTCGATGTGCAAGGACAGCAGATGCCATGATGCCCAAGCCAACCCCTAGTGCTGGTCCAAGTCTGCCTCACCCAGGAAGCCTCCTTTGACCAGGTGGTCCACGGGAGGTCTGGGCAGGAGCCAGTTGAGGAAACACAGCAGGAGCTGGAATGGAGGCCACGTGGCCAAGATGAGTGGGTGGGGGGTGGGGTGGTAGGGAGGACAAAAATGCCGGGCTGGAATGGTGATGCTCTCCCTTCCCTTCACAGTGACAAGGCCTAATGGCAGCACCCATCTGTCTTGCAGATTAACAAGGGACAGGAGATAGCCAGGAGGCTGGTTTCCCTTGACAAAGTACACCTCCATAATAAATGACACCACATGCAAATGCAAAGAGTCACTCGGGCACAGGGTTGGGGAACACACTACAGAGCCCCCTGAACATCTTGAGGATCTGGATGTGGGGCGAGCTGTGTTCATGCTGAGTATCTGGATGAAGCACATCTGCTGGAGACCCCTTGTGACTTCCTGGGAGCCTGAAGGGCCTGGTCTCATTCCAGGTTTAACCTCAGGGAGGAGACAGAAGAAAGGGTAATGAGGAATGGGAGGGGAGAGGGGACGAGAAAAAGGAAAAACAGGTTCCCAGAGGGGGACAGTGTGGGAGCAAGTGGGTCATGTGTGACACCTTGATGACCCCTTGGGCCAAAGGTTACCAACTCCTTCAGCCATCTCAGAATCCTTCCCGCCTCCAGCAAGGCCGTGGGACAGACTCCCCGTCCACGCTGAGGCTCAATGTGCAAGGACCACAGACGCCATGACACCCAAGGCATCCCCAAGGCTGGTTCAATCACACCTCTCCCAGGAAATGTCCTCTGACCGTCTGGTCCACAGCACTTCTTCCTTCTGCAGACCTCACGTTCAGAGGTGGATTTGCCAGGTGTGAAGGTTCATTTTATGTCAACTTGGTTGACCATGATGCCCAGATATTTGGTCAAACATTATTCTGGATGTTTCTGTGAGGATGTTTTTGGATGAGATTTACATTTAAATTAGTGGACTCTGAGTAAAGCAGATGACCCTTCATAATATGCATAGGTGGCCTTCTTCCAGTCAGTTGAAGGCCTTAATAGAACAAATGAAGGACTTTCCCTGAGTGAGAAGGAATTCTGCCAGTGGATGGCCTTCAGGCTTCAATGCAACCTCAGCTTATCCTGGGTTTCCAGACTGCCAGACCACCCTGCTGATTTTGGACTTGTCAGTCTCCATAATCACATTAGCTGAGTCCTTAAAATAAATGTCATTATATGTGTGTGTGTGTGTGTGTGTGTGTGTGTGTGTGTGTGTGTGTGCATACACATACCCTGTTGGTTTTATTTCTCTGGAGAACCCTAATACACCAAGAAACTAACAAAGCTTAAGCCAAGAGTTCCTCACTAGTAAGAGCCCCTTCCAGAGACCTGGGAGGGGCTCTAGCTATTTTCTATCTCTTCTTTCTATGAGGATCTCCCAATGCTGTATAAGCTTCAGACCTCAGCAATCCTGGGTCCAGCCTGGCTTTGACATGGTCATGTGCTACCCCAAGTCTACTCTGGTATTCAGACTTTATGCATGTCTTCCCTCTCTAATTGAACTGGAAGCTCCATGAAGGAAGGGGCTGTCTTCTACTCCTTGGCCTCCTCTGCTGTCTGTGTCACAGCCCTCGTATGTGCTAAGAGCCCAATACACATTTGCTCATGGAATGGGGGTTTGTGACTCCTGTGGTCTTTGGAGGGAGGAAGCTAGAAAAGGGCTCTCAGAGAATGATGCTGAGGACCCAGGAAAGGAGAAAAATAAAATGCAAGAATAAAGTGAGGAAGGAAAAAAATCTTGCCATATTTCATGGCCAGCACTTTCTCTGTCTCTTAGCATCCCAAGATTCTGGTCACCAAGGCTCGGTCTCCTGGGGTGACGGAGGCCATCCATCCCTGATGCAGACCCTGCATTTTCCAGGACCAGCTTGGTTCTTCCTTGACTTGTTCTTTCTCCCATGCCTCCCCGTGTGCCCTGAAAAAGCTCAGGAAAGCACAAAGCTGGCTGAGTTTTCAGGTCCTGGGCCTCAGCCTCTCCACACCGGTGTCCTGGGGCAAGTGCCAGTCAGCAAGGACGTCTTTCATTTCCAGATAGTCCTCATCTTCCAGGTACCCCAGAGAGTGAATTAGAGTGGAATTCAGTGCCACAGGCTGAGAGACAAGATAGGCTGTCTTGGTTGGGCCCTGTGTTTTGACAAAGCTTAGAGCTGACTCAACACTCTTTAAGCTTGCTGCTGGGTGCTCTCAGGTGTCACTTTCTGAACACAGCAAGTTCTCTAGATCCCAGGCAGCCAAAGCTCCCCAGGCAGCTGCACCAGGCAGGCATACCAGGCAGGGCTCTCCAGGAAGAGCACCTGTGTACCTTAGAAGAGATCTATCTTAAAACAATATGTTCACCAATGACACCATCACCACCACGAAAGGATTCACCATTGGTGTTATTAAAAAACAAAGTTATACTTTAAAAAAATTGTAAATTCATCATATAAACATCAGATAATAAAGAAAAGAAAAACAAAACAGAAAGAATAACCCTAACACCCAGGATAAGTCTGGCTAACACTTTGGTAGCATCCTTTCAGCATTTTCTGCTTATAATAACATTTTAAAAAGTCAAATAGGACCCTACGGTATATACTATTTTGTAAGTTATAGACTATTAACAATCTTAGGTGAACGGGAAGACTGTGACATCATGAAATAGGTCCACAGCATTGCCATTTACAGTACTACACTGCTCACATGTTGATTTCCTTTACTCTTCTGGAACCT